TCCATCTTGCAATCAGAGCAGTAAAAGGGAAAGACTGCAGAGTCTGAGCCACACTGATCTGGCCTTGAATCTCGGCTCAGCTCCAGTGTCATGTACCTTGGGCTCTCCCTCTCCTCATCTGCACACAGTTGACCACAAAGGGTCACTGCAAAAGGTTATGGCACGTGAAACGCTATGATACAGAACATGCCAGGTTCCTATCACCTCTTCCTCTGGTTACATGGTTTCTCCCATACTACTCCCATTGTGGCTGAATAAAAAGTGTCTAGAAGCAGGTTATCCAAGGGTCTCCCAGAGGTCCAGGATGTGCCACCAAGTGCAAGAAAACAAATGAATACTACAAAACAGTATTCATCTAGGCACAGTACGGTATTGTTGGCAAACAGTAACATTCTAGTTTCCACATTCAAAATGGAATAACTGTGGAGGAATAACCACCACAGTGCTACTGGTGGTCATGACCAAGGGCTAAGATTACCAAAGATTTTGACCACTTATCTTTAACCTTCTATTTTCCTGAGATGTTTGAATGAGCTCCGATGAGCGTGTGTAATATTTGCATTCAGAAATCACAACACGGACTGTGTTGATCAGGTGAGCTGATTCCCTGGCTGTGCCTTGTACCTGCACTAAGTAGCCTTCATCCCGCCCCACACCCAAGGCAGCCAGGTATGACCCAACTTTAGGAATTTTTTTTTTTTTTGTAGCACTGGGGTTTGAACTCAGGGCCTCACACTTGCTAGGCAGGCACTCTTACTGCTTGAGCCACTCTGCCAGCCCTTTTTGTGTATGATGGGTTTCTTTGAGATAAGGTCTGGTGAACTATTTGCCCAGCCTGGCTTCCATCTGTGATCCTCCTGATCTCTGCCTCCTGAGTAGCTAGGATTACAGACGTGAGCCACTAACACCTGGGAACTCTTGCAGCTTCCTTATGGAGAAACTGAGCACAGAAATGGAGCTATAGGATTCTCTGATGAGACCTGAACCACAGGAAAAGATCCAGGGATGAAGGAAACCTGAGATGGTCCTAGCCAGCATCTTCAAACTCCAACTAGTTCTGTTTGAAAGGCTATGGAAAATGAGCCACTTTCTAAAAAAAATGAAAACCCTTGCTATGGCTGCCACCACAGGTAGAGACAGAAATTGCTGAAAGTTAAGTCCCTCAAAATAAGCTAACTGTCAACTTCTATGATTTAAGATCACTGACACTGAAAAAATACTAAATTAGGGATACTATAAGAAAAATGACATCTCATAACTAAGTTGCATACAAGGTCAGTCAAGGAAAGAGAAATATTCCAGTTTCCAGGGTCTTACACGGCAATGTATTAAAATGTACATTATAACCAGTCACAACAAGATGGGTGAATCCCACAACTTGGAAATTTTAGTTCTTTCCCCACTCCAAAATATACACTCTTAGTGAGGGCAACAAAAATAATGTTTAAGCATCCATAATTGTCCATATGGTTTTTCCCAGTTCAAATATCTGTTTCAATAAAAAATGTAACCCAGAAACATTTTTACCTTCCCTGAATTGGCCTTTGCACCAACAAGGGTGCTCAGTTCTGTACCATGTGAACTTTGCTTGAATGAAATGTGGTGGACTAACCATCTCTCTCCTTGCATTTATGAGATTCCTGACTGGAGAAGAGACGGATGTTTCTCATAGGAGCCCAAATCTTCCCCAGAAGTCAAGCAACACCTCTCTCCAAGTTCTGCTTCTGCTCCAGTACCATCAGGACTCATCCTGAGTTTACCTGATCATAGGCTAGAAATCCCCCAGGCAGGGAACATTCCCTTGCAGCATTTTCATAAGAGCTGGGAAATGCACTGTTTCAAAACTGAACATTTTCCATGAGGCAAAACTGCTATTCAAATTGCCTTACTGTCAACACGACACCGTATGTATATGAAAAAGGTAACATTCTGCTGCTATCAAACCAGTCATCGTGCCCAAGGAAGAAAATGAAACTGGCAGAGAAAATCTTATATTGCCTACTTAATGTTATTTATCAATTTATATTTAAAAGCCGTAAATCTCCATGGGGTACACTTTTAAAAAATTCCTTAGATTCACCTATATGTTTTTCATCACAGTCTTCAACTATATGACCTGAGTATAAATGCGAGTAGCCCCACCAGGTGAATTTTTCATTTATTGAACTACAGCAATTTTTAAGTCCATGAAAACTACTAGGAATGTGTAACAAAATCCAATACCTGAATTATAAAAATGCACTTGCAAAAAAAATAGATAATGCATGCTCATAGCTGAAAGCACAAATTTCAAGAACTTTAAATGAATAGTCACTACAATCACAGAGAGACTAGATTATGACCCACAGCGAGGATGGATTCTTTCACTCTGTGATAACACTCACACTTGTGCAAGTATGACAGACAATGTCCTTGTGATGACTGGCAGACCAGATGATAAAAGAATGAAAAAGTATGAGTGGTTCATTCTACCTGAATTGTATACACTTTACAGGAATATTGGGAGTGAAACAACTTTTTGAACTTAACTGATTGTGTGAAAGAATTTGACAAAAGGGTGTGTGGACCCCATTTTTAATAAACTCAGTATCACCTCAAAAAAAATCCATACGGACCCATTCTGTAACAATAGTTAGAAAGCCACAAAGTTGGTGGCGTGGGATCTATGAAATGGAAAAGCCTGGTCTTAAGAAAAAGTAGCTGTAGAAGCAGTACCAGAGGTGAGGGCTACCCCAACCTCTCACCCCCACCCCGGTAATCAGATGCAGTGCAGTTGAGCTCATCTTTACCCTGCCTCTGACTGGGTGACCTTGGGCAAGTCAGTTAACCTTTAAAGTTCAGGCTTCCTCATCTTCGACATGGAATAACTGGCTTGTGGTGGGGATTCAAGGCGCTCAAGACAGAGACCTTTGAGCTCCCAGTACCCAGTAAATCCCAGCATTCTTCCCAAGATCAGATGTGGCCCCACAGTCCAACTGTCATAGTCCAACATCTTGTGATAACCATTTTCACCCTGTGCCTCTCACTCTTACTGTTCTTTTCACTAGTTTATTTTGGGAGGGGAAGGGCAAGCAGGTGCATTCCACTTTTCCTTAAAGCAGGGTAAAAGACAGGAAAAGGTAACATACACTGAAGACAAATTCAGTGCAGAGGCAATGATGTTACAGATATATAGAATATACACAAATCACAACATTTCAACCTACAACATAAGAGGCATCAAATCATAGGTAGGTTTTATTTTAAAAGAAACAAAAGCTAAGCAACATTAAAGACAACAAAAGGAACCCACATGGGCCTATCAGTATATCTCAATATTGGTGACCATGAAACAGAGACTGGGGGCTAAAGGCAGGGGGCTGACTTCTAACAGGTGGCTTGTCTCAGCCATCTTCAGGTGCAAAATCTTAATGTGTTTGAGCAGGCAAGCCTCGGAAATTTTGTTCAGGGCCTCCTCTTGGCAGTCAAGGGAGTCACTTTTCTGGGTTTAAGCCTCCCTGGCAAGTTAGCAAGCAGAGAACTGTCTGCGGTGTCTTGCCCCTGTCCCCTGAAGGGGATTCTGGCCAGACAGTAAAAAACCCCACCATCCCTTCCATCCTGCCGTTGGGGCGCTTCCGGACAAGCCGGGGAAGCCCACTAGGAAGTGGTCACGACCAACCAAGCCACAGATCTACAGGGTGTGGGATTTCCACCCCTCTGCCTCGTCTGAAAACCGAAAATAGGCACCCGCTTGTCCTACTGCAATGGGATTCCCCCTAGAAGAACCCCCGCTACCTCCACTGCATGTTTTATTAATAAATGCAAGATGGCATACGGAGGCAAAGAATGGGTAGTAAAGCATCTGCAGCTGGACCCGAACCAGCGCAGTTTGCAAAAATAAATAAGAAGCATGTGACAAGAAGCAGCTCCCCAGGCTGGAGTTGAAGACCTGGGGCTGCCCCATGCACTCTCCCCTGGCTCCCCCAGCCTGGGACCACGATGCGGGGTGGGGTGGGATGAAGGTCAGCAGCAAGATGCCAGTCCTCCCCCCCGCCACCCCCGGCATGCACTCTGCAAACCTTGCTCGGCCCCTTCCTTCCCCTCCCCCTCCCCCACTCCATCCCCAGCTCCGGCCCCAGGACGGGGCGGTGAGGCAAGGCTTGGAAGTCCCGGCTACATACCTGCTACCCGGGCTCGGGGTTCGCTCCGCCGTGCGGCGGCGGCGGGAGCCTAGCTCTAGCTCCCGGGGCTCCCCTCTCCGCCCCCCTGCCCCCTCGCGGCCCCGCGACTCCCTCCTTCCCTCCGCCCCTCCGCCCACCGCGCTCGGGGGCGCGCGCGCGCGGCCTCGCGCCAGCGGCTCTGCCGGGCCCGCGCCTGCGCGCTCGCCCTCGCCGCCCCCCTCCCGCGCGCGCTCACGTTCCCGAGGCTGCGGAGCTGCGGCGCGGCTGTCTAGGAAACGGTGGCCTGTGGTGGGGGCGGGGAACGCTGTCCAGCCCGCGTGCGTCGGGGGGAGAGGGCAGCGAAGGAGGGGATTTGAGGGTGGGGGTGGGGTGGGGGGGGGCAACAGGTGCGCGACGCGCGGGGACTCGAACCGCCCAGCTGCGGCGCGTCGCCGTTCCCAGAGCTCTTTCCCCGCCTGGAGTGTGGAGGCCACCGGGGTGGGGGTGGGGGTGGGGGTGAGGGTGGGGCGGGGGCGCCGCTTCCTGGCCGGGATCCCGGCTGTCACTCTACTATCTGGGAGAGAAACACATGGCAGTCCCTTACTCTGATGTCCTGGCTGGGACTCCATGCAGGACAGTTTCTCACCCCCCCCACATCTTTCTATTATTATTATTATTATTATTATTACTATTATTGCACTCTTAAGAAGCTTCTGAAGACATTCTTCTCTCGGTGCCTGTGAAACTAGAATATCCTGTAGGTTTTCAGTGTTTTCTATGTGAAAAGTTTTTTTGCCCTTCGAGCCGATATCGCCCGCCCCTTTGGGAATGTTGGTTCTAGGGCTGTGGTTCTCAGTTAGCATGTGGGGTAAGTGGAGTCACTGACCATCAGAGATGGTCTTTGTGGGTTTAAAAAAGAAAGAAAGGCATTCGCGCATAAATGCACATTTCTAAGGTCTGCAAGGAGCTCCTGTGAGCACAGTTAATTTACGCAGCTTCTGGATTCATAGTAGCTTTTGTCGTTGGTAGTCTCAAGTTGATGTTAAAAAATATAACCATTTTCCTATAGGGTCCTGGCCTTTTTTATGTTAAAATACCTGTAAAGTTTGGAAATCTCGTTTCTAGGACAGTAAATTCCAGGGTGGCCTTTGGCTCAGCTGACAGCCTTCTTTTCTAGTTCTAATGCCTTTTCTTAAGTGTCTTTATTTACATTTTAATACATGAATTGTACACATCAATGTGGTTCATCGATATTTCCATCCATGTTCACATTGTGCTTTGACGATGTCCCATCTACTCAGGACTCCTCTCTCCTTGTCCCTCATCATCCAGCATCTTTCCCTAAAAGTCCCCTTACTGTTTTTCTGTTCCCACTCCTCCAGCCCCCATCCTTCCCAGTCTCTGGTGGCCCCTATTTGGTTAGGCCCAGTTGGCCTCCAGGGAATTCTCTTTGTCTCTCTTGCCCCTTCTACCTCAGTCAGCCTTTCTAGTGAGATGTGGAAATGAAGAGTTGAATACTTCAAAACCCTGGCCATAGGATTGCCCCAGAGTCTGGGCTTGGATGAAACTCTTCTTACCACAGGAGTATCTACATAGAGAATGAGTACCTAACTTTGGCAAACTGGGAGGGGGAGTGGGGAGAGTAAAATTTCTTCCTTAGGTTCCCTCTCCCCCCCTTCCAACATTTCTTACACAACTGTAATATCTGATGTTGGGATTTCAGAGGGGAAAAAAGCCCCTGTAGGAGCTACCTGGCTTAATAGAGGATTTTTCTTCTACAGTTCTAGAAGAAAGAAATATGGGCTGGAAAGGAGAAAGCAGGGGGTGGGTAAGGAAATTTAATAGAGAATGCTAGGCGGGAGGTACACCTTTCTGACAGGTAGGTGGGGACATGTAGGTACACTTGATATAGAAAAGGCCACACATAGCATTTGACCAAGTTGCTATCTACTGCATTTCTCACTCCCCCTCCAAACTCTGCCTAAGATTTGATTAAAACTGTTAAAAAGCATTCAATTAACATGCTAATTATATATTAGAGCAGGACAAGCATTTTGAAACTTGCAGAGAGATAAGCTAGACCACTTTGGATTAACTGGAATCTTGCTTTTGGCAGAACTGGGGTTTGAACTCAGAGCTGCATGCTTGCTAGGCTCTTAGGGCTTGAGCCACTCTGCCAGCCCTGCAATCTTTGTTTGAATACAATTTTAGAAATTTATGTTTATGCCACTTTAGGGGAAATTTTTTTCCTACAACGGCTGCCTATGAAGACCTTGAGAGAGGAATCTATATGAAAATTACATGTCTCTAATATGAAATCATTGAGATTTCATAGTTGTGCAGTCATTTTATGTTATAGTGTGAAGTCAAAATATCCCAAAGCATGTATAATTTGTCAGCTTTGTGACTCCCCCTGGTGGTGGCCTACTTTCACTGCACAACTCAAACTAAAACTAAAACTTAAATCCGAAGTGTAGACACATGCCATTCTGCTTTTGCCAAACTTGGCCTGCTCTTCTTTTCAAAGACCTGAGGCCTAACACTCACAGGAGGATTAGCTCTTGAGACTGCTTCATCAGAAGGAACTGGGAAGATCTCTGGAGGGTTCCCTTGTTGTCTGGAGCATTCTTCAACTTGCCTGGCCTGTAAGTCAATGCTGAGCACTTGCTTAAAATCAGATTCTGGAGCCTCGTCTCAAACCCAGTGAAACCTAATTTCCAGGAGATCGACTTGTGAGTTTTATTTTTCACAGCACAGGTGATTCTGATCGATGGGAAAGGTTGGGGAACTCCTACAGCTATAAATAGTTTAAGTGCTGCCTTGGAGACTGTAGGTGCCTGGGGCATTGTGAGCGATGGGAAATGGGGTTATAAAACAAACCTAAGCTTGGTGTGCCAATTTCTTTCCAGATATTCCTGTTTCTAAGGCCGCTGTAATTGATGTGATATCCCATATCAACATGCCTTTTGAGGTGAGTCAGATTTTCTTTTTGCTAAAAAGACTATCTTTTTGCCAGGTATGGTAGTGTGCATCTGTAATCTCAGCACTTGGTAGTGTGAGGCAGGAGGATTGTGAATTTGAGACCAGCCTGGGATACATAGCAAGATCCTGTACTCCCCCACCTCCAAAAAAAAAAGACTGTCTTTTTAAGAGAACCTTGTTCACATAAACAGAAAAAATGTGTGCATGTACATATGTGTAAGATTATGGGAGGCAGATTGGAGATTATGATCTGTCAGTGTCTGAAAAAGATTGATAGCAGAGTTAAAGTTTTTGTTCTTTTGAGATAGCTGCTTGGAAAAAAAAATAGAACAAGCCATGCATGGTGGTACATGGCTGTAATCACAGCTATTTGGGAGGCAGAGGTGAGGGTGGGGAATCACAGTTTTAGACCACCCTGGGCAAACAGTTATCAAGACCCCATCTCAACACAGAAGCCAGGCTTGGTAGTGCATCTGTGATCCCAGCTACTCAGGAGGCATAGATAGGAGGATCACAGCCGTAAGCTGGCCCCAGGCAAAAATATGAGACCCTATCCAGAAAAATAACCAAAGCAAAAAAGGGATTGGGGTGTGGCTCAAGTGGTAATAGTGCTGCCCTAGTAAGAGAGAGGCCCTGAGTTCGAACGCCAGTGCTGCCAATATATACATATAAAACATATGAATTTAGTGCCCCATGATTTGTGAAATTTAAATGAAACCCGAAGTTTGAAAATTGTTAGTGTTTATATAAATGCTAATATTTTGAAAACTTTTTAGAAATTATTTACAGAATATGTGGGTTTGATTACAGAAACCAATAGATAAGAATTTACCTATTTAATACAGTGTGTTATCCCTGTACAAATGGAAAACATTTAATTTTTCTAGACCAGTATGGCTATTCATTTCTGTACAATGCCAACTCAACATGGTAAGCTGAGCTACTTTTTTCCAAGTTGACAGCACAGCTAAAATTTCCCAAAATTCAAATTATATATGTATATGTATTTATATTTATATAAATATGTAAGTAGACCAATAATAGCAGTATTTGTGCCTAAATGAGCATCAGCTTTTCCAGGTTCTGCAGTCATCTGAACAAAATTGTAGAGACATCCAGCACACTCCATTAAAAAAAAAAAAGTGAAAAACAAAACCCCAGAAAACAGCAAAGTTCTGTTACTGTCATGGTACCTGGCACCATATTTTTTTATAAGTTTCTCGGTCATCATCTGGAAAGTAGGCAGCTGTGATGAAGCCCATGTCATGCCGCAGGTATAAGACACTTGACATTCACAGAGGTGTTCTCATATGTAGATTTACCAAGCAGCTTCACTTACTTGGACTATACAGGGAGAAAGCCAACCCAAGTTACTGAAAAGCTTGAAAAGTGGAATATATGTAATTTTGTGGGATATTTATTTTGAAATTTATATGCTGTAACTGCTAACAGGGCAGGGTTTTAATCTGTTAAAATCCTGCTGAGGTAGCTTTACTGAGCAAATACGATTGACTTGTGTGTAGCAACATTTACGTGAATACACGGATACAAGGTGCACTTCCCAGGCCTTTGATAAACATGAATTGTAAAAGAGATTTTCCCACAGGGAGGTTTAATACACCTAATGCAGCCAGCCCGTCTTAAAGAATAAAACCTTAAGGGCAGATTTCTCCTGGAGCAGTGACAGACCAACAGCAGGGCAGTAAGAGAAGCCTCTTTGGGGTAAGCAGTAATTCTTACCTTCTGCAGACAATTAAACGATAATAAAGCCACTCAAATCTACCTGCTTTTTATTGCCAGTAATCTTTACATATTAACAGTTCTCTATGGTGCTGGTGATACAATACTCCTCCCTGAAACTTTTCTTCTTTATTTTATTTTTTTGAAACATTTCCTCTTGTTTTAGGTTATAAACAATTTCTGTAGTTTCCAGAAGCTTCAAATTAGCACATTTTGCATGTGCGAGGCCCTAGGTTCGATCCCCAGCACCTCCCATTGGCACATTTTATTTATCCTTTCATATACTCTACATTCCACATGGGAATTAGTATAGCAAACTACCCGAAATTCACTTGGCCTTAAGTGAACATGGATTCTGCTATTGGATTTGTTCCCAAATAAATTCATAAAAATCCAGGAGAAGTGAACCAGCAGGTAGGTGATCTTGTCTGCAACCTCCTTGGTCCGTGTGCCTACATTAACTGTAGATTCTTTCTTCCTTCTTCCTTTTCTCCTTCTCTTCTTTTTTCTTCTTGGCTGTACTGTGGCTTGAACTCAGGGCCTATACTTGCAAGTGCTCTACCCCTGAAGCCATGGCTACAACCCTTTTTGTTTTTATTTTTCAGCTAGGTTCTTACTTTTGCCTGGGGCTGGTCTCATCTTTCTACTTCCATCTCCCACGTACCAGGGATTACAGACGTGTATTACCCACTTTGCTTTTTGCTTTTGGGTCTAGCTGCTTTTTTTTTTTTCCCCCTTGTCTGAGCTGGCCTTGACCTCCTCAGCCTTACCTCTCTCCTGGGATTACAGGTGTGTGCCATCCCCAGGAAACAGTGAGTCATTAATAAACACTATGGGTACACTGATTGTAAAGCTGAAGAAACACAACTTGGTTATTTTAATGTTCTATGTGACCACTTGGGAGCTTTTGTTTGTGTGTGAGATTTAAGAGTGAGAAAAGCACAAGCTTATAGGTGTAATGTTTTTGGTTGGCAAATGCAAATTTTAGCTCATACATGAAGTTATTTTTTTTGAATAATTCAAATATGTTTAACTTTGGTTAGTGGTGTGGTTCAAGTGGTAGAGCACCTGCCTAGCAATCTCAAGGCCCTGAGTTCAATTCCCCAGTACTGCCAAAAAAAGCTTAACTTTGAAATGTGTTCTTTT